TTCCCCCCATTTTCCCCCCTTTCCTCCATTCTGCCCCCATTTCCCCCCATTTTTTCTCAATTTCCCCCATTTTTCCCTCATTTCCCCCCAAATTTCCCCCCATTTTCCCCCCATTTCCCCCCACATTTTTCCCATTTCCTCCCAATTTCCCCCCAAATCCCCCCAGTCCTCCTCACCTTCAACCTCTGCACGATCTCCTTGACCTCCTCGGCCGCTCCCTCGGCTCCTTCCTCCGCTCCCGCTCCCGTTCCCGATCCCGTTCCCGATCCCGATCCCGATCCCGCTCCCACCCTGAGGCTGACCAGATCCCCGCGCCCGTGGTAGATCCTCAGCGCCGCCCCCTCGGCGCTCCAGCCGATCACGTCGCCGGTGAAGCAATGGAACACCACCTCCTTGGCCGCCAGGTCCACCAGCACCACCAACTCCTTGGAGACGCCCAACACGCACGGCACCTCCGCGCCGCCCCGGCCGAAATCCAACGCCGAGACGCGCCACGACACGGCGCCGGCGCTCTCCAGCTCCGCCAAGGGCCGCGCTTTGGATTTCTCCTTCTTCTTGGAAGCCAAGGAGATGAGGTTGAACTTCCCGACCGTGTCCAAGGGCGTGTTGGTGACGTAGTTTTCCGCCAGGTCCCGCAGGTATTCCTGGCGCGTCCTGGTGGCCATGGTGCGGAATTTGTGGGATTTGTGGGCGGCGTTCTCGGCGTTGATGGCCTTGGCCAAGAGGAAGGCGCGGAAGAGGTCGGAGCGGCGGAAGGTGACGCCGGACGGCGGCACCGGGGGGCCGAAGGGAGGGACGTCCTTGGAGCGGGTGACGGCGACGCTTTTTTGGGGGAAAAAAGAGGGAAAGAGGAATTTTGGGGTTTAGGGGATTTGGAGGTTGGGGAAGGTCTTTGGGGTTGGTCGGCTTGGGGTTCTTCAAGATTCGGGGTTGGTATTTTGGGGGATCTTCCAGTTAATCTTTGGGATCAGACAACTCTGGGGATCCCCCAATTTCTGGGATCCTCCAACCAATTTTTGGGATCCTTCAACTCTTGGGATCATCCAACCAATCCTTGGGGTCTTTCAACTCTTGGGATCCTCCAACCAATTTTTGGGACCCTTCAGCTCTTTGGGATCCTCCAACCAAACTTTGGGATCCTTCAACTTTTGGGATCATCCAATCAATTTTTGGGATCCTTCAACTTTTGAGATCCTCCTACCAACCTTTGGGATCCTTCAACTCTTTGGGATCATCCAACCAATCCTCGGGGTCCTTCAACTTTTTGGGATCCTCCAATGAATTTTTGGGATCTTTCAACTTTTGGGATCCTCCAGTGAATTTTTGGGATCCTTCAACTCTTGGGATCCTCCAGTCCATTTTTGGGACCCTTCAACTCTTGGGATCCTCCAACCAAACTTTGGGATCCTTCAGCTTTTGGAATCATCCAACCAATTTTTGGGATCCTTCAGCTCTTTGGGATCCTCCAACCAAACTTTGGGATCCTTCACCCATTTTTCCCTCATTTCCCCTCAAATTTCCCCCCATTTCCCCCCACATTTTCCCCATTTTCCCCCATTTTTTCCCCATTTTCCCCATTTTTCCCTCATTTCCCCTCAAATTTCCCCCCATTTTCCCCCCATTTCCCCCCACATTTTTCCCATTTCCCCCCAATTTCCCCCCAAATCCCCCCAATCCTCCTCACCTTCAACCTCTGCACGATCTCCTTGACCTCCTCGGCCGCTCCCTCGGCTCCTTCCTCCGCTCCCGATCCCGATCCCGATCCCGATCCCGGTGCCGATCCCGATCCCGCTCCCGCTCCCACCCTGAGGCTGACCAGATCCCCGCGCCCGTGGTAGATCCTCAGCGCCGCCCCCTCGGCGCTCCAGCCGATCACGTCGCCGGTGAAGCAATGGAACACCACCTCCTTGGCCGCCAGGTCCACCAGCACCACCAACTCCTTGGAGACGCCCAACACGCACGGCACCTCCGCGCCGCCCCGGCCGAAATCCAACGCCGAGACGCGCCACGACACGGCGCCGGCGCTCTCCAGCTCCGCCAAGGGCCGCGCTTTGGATTTCTCCTTCTTCTTGGAAGCCAAGGAGATGAGGTTGAACTTCCCGACCGTGTCCAAGGGCGTGTTGGTGACGTAGTTTTCCGCCAGGTCCCGCAGGTATTCCTGGCGCGTCCTGGTGGCCATGGTGCGGAATTTGTGGGATTTGTGGGCGGCGTTCTCGGCGTTGATGGCCTTGGCCAAGAGGAAGGCGCGGAAGAGGTCGGAGCGGCGGAAGGTGACGCCGGACGGCGGCACCGGGGGGCCGAAGGGAGGGACGTCCTTGGAGCGGGTGACGGCGACGCTTTTTTGGGGGAAAAAAGAGGGAAAGAGGAATTTTGGGGTTTAGGGGATTTGGAGGTTGGGGAAGGTCTTTGGGGTTGGTCGGCTTGGGGTTCTTCAAGATTCGGGGTTGGTATTTTGGGGGATCTTCCAGTTAATCTTTGGGATCAGACAACTCTGGGGATCCCCCAATTTCTGGGATCCTCCAACCAATTTTTGGGATCCTTCAACTCTTGGGATCATCCAACCAATCCTTGGGGTCTTTCAACTCTTGGGATCCTCCAACCAATTTTTGGGACCCTTCAGCTCTTTGGGATCCTCCAACCAAACTTTGGGATCCTTCAACTTTTGGGATCATCCAATCAATTTTTGGGATCCTTCAGGTCTTTGGGATCCTCCACCAACCTTTGGGATCCTTCAACTCTTTGGGATCATCCAACCAATCCTCGGGGTCCTTCAACTTTTTGGGATCCTCCAATGAATTTTTGGGATCTTTCAACTTTTGGGATCCTCCAGTGAATTTTTGGGATCCTTCAACTCTTGGGATCCTCCAGTCCATTTTTGGGACCCTTCAACTCTTGGGATCCTCCAACCAAACTTTGGGATCCTTCAACTTTTGGGATCATCCAATCAATTTTTGGGATCCTTCAGGTCTTTGGGATCCTCCAACCAAACTTTGGGATCCTTCAGCTCTTGGGATCCTCCAATGAATTTCTGGGATCCACCAATCAATTTTTGGGATCTCCCAACTCTTGGGATCCTCCAACCAATCTTTGGGATCCCCCAACTCTTTGGGATCCTCCAGTCCATTTTTGGGACCCTACAACTCTTGGGATCCTCCAACCAATCTTTGGGATCCTTCAACTTTTGGAATCATCCAACCAATTTTTGGGATCCCCCAACCAATCTTTGGGACCCTCCAACTCTTGGGATCCTCCAATGAATTTTTCTTGGGGTCCTTCAACTCTTTGGGATCCTCCAACCAAACTTTGGGATCCTTCAACTTTTGGGATCATCCAATCAATCCTTGGGGTCCTTCAACTCTTTGGGATCCTCCAATGAATTTTTGGGACCCTTCAACTCTTGGGATTCTCCCACCAATTTTTGGGACCCTTCAACTTTCGGGATCCTCCAACCAAACTTTGGGATCCTTCAGCTTTTGGAATCATCCAACCAATTTTTGGGATCCTTCAGCTCTTTGGGATCCTCCAACCAAACTTTGGGATCCTTCAACTTTTGGGATCATCCAATCAATTTTTGGGATCCTTCAACTCTTGGGATTCTCCAACCAAATTTTTGGGATCTTTCAACTTTTGGGATCATCTAACCAATCTTTGGGACCCTCCAGCTCTTGGGATCCTCCAACGAATTTTTGGGATCTTTCAACTTTTGGGATCCTCCAACCAATCCTTGGGGTCCTTCAACTCTTTGGGATCACCCAACCAATCTTTGGGATCCTCCAACTCTTGCAATCCTCAAACCAAATTTTGGGGTTCTTCAACCTTTGGGATTCCCCAACTCCTGGGATCCTTCAACCTTTGGGATCCTCCTCCAGTCCATTTTTGGGACCCTACAACTCTTGGGATCCTCCAACCAATCTTTGGGATCCTTCAACTTTTGGAATCATCCAACCAATTTTTGGGATCCCCCAACCAATCTTTGGGACCCTCCAACTCTTGGGATCCTCCAATGAATTTTTGGGATCTTTCAACTTTTGGGATCATCTAACCAATCTTTGGGACCCTCCAGCTCTTGGGATCCTCCAACCAATTTTTGGGATCCTTCAACTTTTGGGATCCTCCAACCAATCCTTGGGGTCCTTCAACTCTTTGGGATCCTCCAACGAATCTTTGGGATCCTCCAACTCTTGCAATCCTCAAACCAAATTTTGGGATTCTTCAACCTTTGGGATTCCCCAACTCCTGGGATCCTTCAACCTTTGGGATCCTCCAGCCAATCTTTGGGATCTGTCAACTCTTGGGATCATCCAACCTTTAGGACCCTTCAACCCAATTTTAGTTTTTTGTATTTTTGGGAAGTTTTTTCCAAATTTTGAGGAATTTTTGGGAATTTTCAGAAAGTTTTGGTAATTTTGTGTAAAATTTGTGGAATTTCTGCTGATTTTTTACAAATTTTTGGTAATTTTGGTGATTTTTCGCAAAATTTTGGGCAATTTTTGCTATTTTTTTACAAATTTTTTGTATTATCCTCCAACGAATCTTTGGGATCCTCCAACTCTTGCAATCCTCAAACCAAATTTTGGGGTTCTTCAACCTTTGGGATTCCCCAACTCCTGGGATCCTTCAACCTTTGGGATCTTCCAACCAATCTTTGGGATCATCCAACCCTTGACCCAAGACGATGAACCCCAAATCCCAAAATCCCTCCAGGAAAATCCATCTCAACCCTTCCAAAAACCAGGAATTCTCCCCAAATCCCACCGGACTCGTTCTCCAACCCCGTCCCCACAACCCAACCAATTTTTGGGAATTTTTTGCAATTTTTAGGATTTTTTGCAAAGTTTTGGCAATTTTTTTCCCAAATTTTTGGGATTTTTGGGGAAGTTTTGTAAAGTTTTGCAAACTTTTGGGAATTTTTGCAATTTTTGGGGAAGTTCTTACAAAATCTTGGGAATTTTCAGAAATTTTTGATAATTTTTTGCTAATTTTGGGGAATTTTTTACACATTTTTGGGGTTTTTTGGGAATTTTTGGGATTCTCAAATCCTGGGCCCTGCAGATCCGATGGGATCAAAATTTTCAGAAATATTTGGGAATTTTGGGGAATTTTCAGAAAGTTTCTGTAATTTTTTGCAAAATTACAGAATTTTGTAATTTTGTAATTACAAATTTGTGGAATTTTTGCTATTTTTTCACAAATGTTTGGTATTTTTGGGGAATGTTTTGCAAATTTTGAGGAATTTTTGGGAATTTTCAGAAAGTTTTGGTAATTTTGTGTAAAATTTGTGGAATTTCTGCTGATTTTTTACAAATTTTTGGTAATTTTGGTGATTTTTCGCAAAATTTTGGGCAATTTTTGCTATTTTTTTACAAATTTTTTGTATTTTAGGGAATTTTTTTTGCAAAATGTTGGGAATTTTTGGGAGCCACCTGTAGGAGACGCTGTCGGAGCAGGGCTGGTGGGCGCGCACGATGATGAAGACGTGCTGGAAGTGCGAGCGGATGTTCTGGGGCGTGAAGGGCAGCGCGCCGGGCTCTTGGAAGATGATGGTGACGATGTCGTTGCCGATGTGGCGCTTCCGGAGAAGCTGGGAATGGTTTTTTGGGGAAAAAAAAACAGTGGGAATGGGTGGGATGCAGATTTGGGATGGTCCAAGGAAGTTTTGGGGTTGTTCGGTTCTTGGGAGGCTTCAACCCTTGGGATAATCCCACAAACCTTTGGGATCATCCAACCCTTGAGATTCTCCAACTCTTGGAATCCTTCAACTCTTGGATCTCCCAACCAAACTTTGGGATCATCCAACTCTTGGGACCACTCAACCCTTGGAATCCTCCAACTCTTGGAATCCTTCAACCCTTGGATCCCCCAACCAACCCCTGGGACCACTCAACCCTTGGGATCCTCCAACTCTTGGATCTCCCACTCTTGGAATCCTTCAAGCCTTGGATCCCTCAACCAACCCTTGGGATCATCCAACCCTTGAGATTCCCCAACTCTTGGGATCTCCCAAGTCTTGGAATCCTTCAACCCTTGGGATCATCCAACCCCTGGGGCCACTCAACTCTTGGAATCCTTCAACCCTTCAGATCAACCAATCTTTGGGATCTTCCAACCAACTCTTAGAATCCTTCAACCCTTGGGATCACCCAACCCTTGGAATCCCCCATCTTCTAGGACCACCCAACTCTTGGGATCCTTCAGCTCTTGGGAAAATCCAATTCTTGGGACCATCCAACCCTTGGATCTCCCAACCAACCCTTGGAATCTTTCAACCCTTGGGATCAACCAATCCTTGGGATCTTCCACCCAACTCTTAGAATCCTTCAACCCTTGGAATCCCTCAACTCTTGGAATCCTTCAACCCTTGGGATCCACCAGCTCTTGGGATCCTTCAACCCTTGAGATCAACCAATCCTTGGGATCTTCCAACTAACTCTTGGAATCCTTCGACGCTTGGGATCCCCCAACTTCTGGGACCAGCCAACCCTTGGGATCTCCTAACCAACCCTTGGGATCCTCCAACCCTTGAGATCCCCCAACTTCTGGGACCACCCAACTCTTGGGATCTCCCAATCTCCATGGACCGAATCCATGGAAAACCCCGGGATGATGCGGAGGTTCCGGCGGTACCTGCTGGCGGTTGTTGGGCGTGTAGGGCAGCATGGTGGACACGTGGAACATGATCTCGTAGTCCTGGTAC